TCCCAGCTACTCGGGAGGCTGAGACACGAGAATGGCGTAAAACCGGGAGGCGGAGCTTGCAGAGAGCTGAGATCGGCCACTGTACTCCAGCCTGGGCGCCAGAGCGAGACTCCGTCTCAAAAAAAAAAAAAAAAGAATTTTCAAAGGATCATACAAGAGACTATAAAATAAACTATTACTCTCCTAAGATTTGGTCATTATCATTTTAACACAAATTTAATAAACAAAAATACAGTATATTCCACTATACCATAACTTAACTTGAAAATTTCATTCTATGCACAGAAACATGTGAATTATTTAAAGGTAAGATATAGAATGAAGACTGTACCACTGAAGAGACACCACTCCCACCATGCTCAAGCAAGTCTTCCATAGGTGAGTCAATGTGAGGAACTCATTACATAGAGAGCACGGCATACCCTCAGCATACATTACTCCTAGGATTATCTCAGTAGTTGTTCATTTGGCTCAGGAGCACTACAGCTATAAGTGAAAGCAACTACCCATGGGCAATTTACAGTCTAATTGGGAGATAATGGATACACAAATGAATAATTACTAAAAAATACGAAGTTTGTTCAGTATCACAGTCTGATGTAACTGAGTACTAAACAGTATGATAAAATTGTATACTAGTAAACAGTAAGATGCTAATGGTGGTACACAAAAAACAGACACCTGGTTAAACCATCTATATTTAAATTTCTTTACTTAAATATATTTTTTAAGTTTGTTTTCATAAGAACAGTGCCTTGTACATAATAAAAGCTCAAGAATTAGTTAGCGACTGACCTAAATCTAAGCTCACAACACTGCCTGCCTTCCTGTCACTATGGGTGAACTGTCTATGCCCCTAACAAAGGCCGTTCCTCTTCATTTCTGTGCTCACCCCCCAACTTGTACTCACCCATAAAAGGACACTGCTCCTCCCTTCTTTCCTCTACATTGTCGATTTTTCCCTGCTTCCCTAGACAATCTTCATTAGCTTACAAACTTGCTATAAAATCTTCCTTTTCAAAATAAAATAAAGTCTCCTATGTTGCCTTCCAGTTACCACCCAACATTCCTCTTAATGTAAGTTCTCAAAAAAAAAGCCATCTCTATTTCCTCTCCTTCTATTTTCTCTTATACCTACTTCAGTAACCTTCACATTGGCAAATCCAGTAGTCATTTCTCAGTGTTCCTCTACTAGCAGCAGTTCTTGACCTACTAGCAGCAGTTCACAGTGTAATCTGTCCTCTCCTACAGTATCTTGACTTGTCCTCTGAAACACGATCCTCACTGGCTATTTCATCTCATTTTAAGGGCTGAACCACCCACCCTCACTTACCTGCCTTCCAAAGGTTGAACTACCTGAGGGATCAGTCATGTTACTTCTCTTATCCTATCCATGCACACCTCCCTAACTGATCTCATGCAGACACGTGGCTTTAAATACCATCTAACAACTGATAATTTCTAAATTTTTATCTCCAGCTACAATCTCCCTTATGATTTCCAACCACCAACTTGATATCTCTACCTAGATGCAGGCAAATTATTAGTAAGGAGTAAACAGGACAAATGTCTCCTGGAAGAATAAACAAATAAAGGACTTCACAATTTTGAGCCTGATATCGTATTGATGATGTAAGAGTAATAAAGAGAGAAAGAACTGGACTCAAGAAGAAAAGAGAAATAGTTCTGCATTAAAACATACTGAAGTGAAGGTCTGATGGAATATCAAAAAATATATACATTTGTATAGTTAGAAAAAAGGAACCAGAAAAAAGGTGATAGATTGAAGATGATATAGATTTTAGTTTTTAAGGTAGTTCCATCCTAAAACATAAATAAAAATTCCTTCCTTTGACCTTATATATTCTTTCTTCTTTGTCTAATTTGCATTTCTCCAATGACCAAAATGTTTAGTATTATTTCATCTGTTTAATGGCCAATTACATATATTCTTTTTTTTTTTTTTTTTTTTTTTTTAAGTAGAGATTTGGTCTTGCTATTTTGCCCAGGTTGGTCTTGAATTCCCGAACTCATGAAATCCTCCTGCCTCGACCTCCCAAAGTGCTGGGATTACAGGTGTGAGTGTGCCACAGTGCCCAGCCTAAAATCATTTTTTCCATTCTAGGTTCGCTGTATTTCCATTTAAACATGAGAATGAGGTTTTGTTTTGTTTTGTTTTGTTTTTTAAGCTTTCTGGGAGTGTGGCTGGGATTACATTCAATCTGTAGAAAAAATAAGCTTACCTTAATAATTGCTTTCAAATCCACCACTATGGTATATCCCTCTATTAACCTGCAGCAACATTTACCAGTTTTCTATGAAAGGTCTTACACAGCTTCTGTTAAATTTCCTCTTAAATATTTTTATTTCTTTATGCTCATGTAAATGGAACTGTTTTAGAAATTTCAGTTTGATTGTAGGTTGGTTACATATAGAAATACCGTTGATTTTCATGCATGGACCTTCTATCCTATAACCTCGTTAAATTCACTAATTAGAATTCACTTACTAAAATAGCTTAGTATCATCTGGGAATAAAAAAAGATTTATTTTTTCCTTTCCCTTATGTATGCCCTTTATTTCACTGACCTCCAGTACAATGTTGAACATAAGCATTGACAGCAGAGATCTTTGCCTTGTTCCTGATCTTAGGTAGAAAGCATTCCTTCTCAATGATCTCACCATTAAGAATGTTGCTTTTTCATAGATGTGCTGTGTCAAGTTGGGGAATTTCACTTACATTTCTAGTATTCTGAGAGTTATTATTGCCAAAATGTTTTCTTTCTTTTTTTTTTTAGAAAGCGGTTCTCATTATGTTGCCCTGGCTAGAGTGCAGTGGCTACGCACAGGTACAATCATAATGCACTGCTACCCTGAACTCCTAGCTGCAAGGGATTCTCCCATCTCAGTCTCTCAAGTGGCTGGAATGACAGGCATATGCCACTGTGCCCAGCTAATTTAGCCTTTAAAACTATAAATTTCCTTTTAAATACTGCTTCAGCTGCATCCCACAAGTTCTGATATGTTGAGTTTTCAGTATCATTCAGTTTAAGACAGTCTTTGATTTCTTTTTTGATCAATGAGTTATTTAGTAGTGGGCTTTTTCATTTTAATGTATTTGGAGATTTTTCATGGTTACTGATTTCTAATTTAACTCAGTTGCAATCAGAACACATATGTATGTGACTTCAATTCTTTTACATTCATAAATTTAAGACTTAATATACTAAGA